TGAATGCTGCTGCACACACACACACACACACACACACACACACAGAATCACTATATAACGTACGTTTCACCCTTCTTCTCATGCGCTCGTTCGTTTTGCAGTGACTGAGTTAAGAATGATCACTGAAGAGAAACGTGATGATGAAAGTGAGACGTGATGTTCTGACCACTGTGACGTACAGCAGCTGTGGTTTAGTTGCTGATGAACAAAAACACAACACAGACTCATGTCAAACAGCTGCAAACTACAGAAAGACTTTCATTACACTCAAGGGTTTAGTAAAACAGTAGGGAGTAACTTTATCTAAAGAAGCACCTTTATGTACCGCATCTCCTCACAAACACAATGCAAGACTTAATAAAAAAACAGTACTGCACATTGCACAGTGGTAGTTCTGTTACTGTAGTTTAATTTCTTACATGCTGTAACATGTTCCTATTGAGTTATTATAGTGTTATTATGCTAAACTGAAACAAAAATTTAAAAAAAAAAAAAAAAAAAAAAAGAGCAGTAAATTGTTTTTAGTGAACTAAATGAAGACGACATCCTTTAATAAAAACCAAACTAAAACGATATTTTGTTTGTATATGTAGCTACGTACTACTGAGACATTACATCTCAACAAACTAAATATACACAAATTAAACCTTTCTGAAGAAATGAAACTGAAATGACAGAAAAGTCTAAAAATGATTATAACTATAGGTATTATAACCTTGCCTTCATCACATAAAGGACTGAGTGTACAGTGTTGCATCCCACTCAGTAAACACTCAGTAGTCGTGACAGCGTTGCTACAGCAGTTCTCCACCATTAGACTCTCATAACACAGTCAGACTCCCTGCAGCACAAACAGATATGTAGCATCTTTTTTTACTCCATGCATTCTTCTTGGCTCCTACATTACCCACAATGCAACTCCACCTCCCTCTCCCGTATTATTTTCACTTTCTATCTTATAGTCGTCAGCCCTCAGCAGACAGGAGCGACTTCACTTGAGGACATTTATCAGACTTCACTCGCCTCCCTCTGGAGACACTAAAGCCTTCACACTTTACTTCACACACGCAGAAGTTCTCCTCAAGACTTTGAAAGAAGAAACTCCACGGGGTTCCCCTTAACTGAACTGCAGAAGAAGAGAAATGCAGCACTGCAACGCACTAGTGGTGAAATAAATAGGAACTTAGTGAATCTTAGAAATTGCTGTTGAAGCCTCGTCAGAGACGTTGTGCTGGATTACATTTTGCTCTTCTGTACATTGTGTAAATACGTTTAATATTATATAATTAATACTACAACAGTTCTTCTTATACAGCTGGTTCTCGCTGCCTAGATGCAGATCGCCAGCAACACATCAGAATAGAAAAGCTGCAGAAGTGCTGCGCTAAAGGATTCCTTTCATGTCACAGTTAACCTTGAAGTAGCGTTGTCTGCTGCAGTGAGATATTTCTGTTGGCTCTCAACCAGCAATGCAACATTTTAATGTCCAGCAACGCGGCAGGTTTCATCACTTCTCCGGCTGTGATTGTGTGTATAATGGAGAGTTTCTGAAGCGTGTGTTTTCTGCAGAAATAACAGGGTTCGTTGAAGATCATAGTCAACGAGATAAACTCTGAATGTGTGAAGAAGAGAATGGGTTGGGGGGGTCCAACAAGACTTGTGGTTAAAAAATAAATTCATGTCCAATTGATATTCTGGCAACTGTCCCCCTATCTTCAAGCCATAACCACTTGATTCATATTCAACAACACGCTTCTGTAGCCTCGATGTGTCGCAAATAATTACAGAAACGTGTTTATCGGCACAAACGACGTAAACAAATCCACGCAAATTAATCTCGACAAATGAAGCATTAGATTTCAATTACAGGGAACATGATGCCCGGTTACGCTGAATGTCCTTGTCCTTTAAAAGACATTACACACACACACACACACACACACACACACACTGCCCTCTCTGGACCCAGACAGACAGTTATGTAACACATCATCCCTCTTATGATTAAATTTGACAGTTTGGTGATGCCGGATGACGAAAGTGCTGGTGAAGTGGAATGTGTTGTTTATGTGTGTGTGTGTGTGTGTGTAGCACAAATGCACGTTTCTTTGTGGTTTCTAATGATTAAATAAGCGAGGGGAAGCATACGTTTGACTTTTTTGTCCTCGATAGCTTTTCCACAGCAACACACTGAGCATATTTTACTCTTAGTGTTCCTGCAGAGCAACTTATTCGCTGGTGCTTCATGTTTTTCTCCAACTCTTCTTCCACTCCTTTGGAGCTCTCTGACTTTGCGCACAGATCTTTTTCAAAAGTGCAGACGGGCCTTGAGAGTACAGTGATGTTAATCTTTTCCCTTTGCCCTTTGAAAGCCGAAGAAAAAAAAAAAAAAAAAAAAACAAGCTCCCCGCCACGAATAAAGAGCTTTAAGGCAGCGGAGAATAAAGCGGAGGCCCGGCAGCGGTAACAGAGAGTCCGTGAGTGAAGGACGAGTTTGAGAGAGGAAGAGGCTGAAGAAGAAATGTGCCCGAGGAAGAACGTGAGCATGAGACAAAGAAAGGAGTGACGTCACAAGAACAGAAATCCATCAACCTGTATGTTAGTTTTCATTCAGAAATGATAAAGAATGGTAAACTTTGCAACTGATGTTCTTCTTGTTGGGAGTTGACAAAGAGAAACATTAAAAAGCTCCTCGGGGACAGATTTGCTGATGTTAGCACAGTTCAACTGCATTCTAGCAGCAAAACACGAGGCCGACGTGTTTCTCTCTCGACTGCTGCAGCTCCTTAGTCAACTAAATGGAAACATGATTTCACAAGGAATCACTATTATAAATGCAAAGCTAAGATAAGGATTTAGTGTTTCCTTGAAGCTAAGACAACATGATTATTTTCTACACGTGATAAGAAATCAGAAATCTCTCAGAGCAGGTGGACATATCCTCAAACAACGGTTCGTATCATATCCTACGGAAAAGTTACTCCCCATTTCTCCTATGAAAGTTTCAATTTCTGCTCATTACATGTATACAATATTTTCAAAATAAACTTAAATAACTCAGGTTTAGAAAACAAAACTACTTAGTTTAGGAAATGACTGTTTGTTGGACCCGTCCACCTCCCGTCCCAACCATGCTGTGTAGGTCTGAAATAACTACAGAAGTTACATAACAAATAAGACAAAGTGTGTTCAACCACCTCCCCACAAGGACTTTATATAAGAGTCCAGTGCGAAGCCCAACAGAGCAGGTCGTCTATGATCCTCCATCCATCCTCTCCGACACGTTCTCTGAGATGATTTTAATACTCGGTGTGTGTTAGGCAGATTGAGATGATGCCCGATGGATTAACAATCCCGTAGTGATTGTGGATTACGGCCGGTGTGTGTGTGTGTGTGTGTGTGTGTGTGTGATGAGAATAAATCTCAAACCGTTTTTCATTTGGAGCTGGTTATGTAATGCCTGTCAGGACCCGTTCAAAATAAAAAGAACTTAATTACAAATTGCAGACACAAAGATGAATTGTATTTGCTCTTCATAATATTTTCATCATGAATACACAACATCCTGCAACAGACCCGATCTGTTCTTTCTAACTTTCTGTAAGATATCATACAAACTGTTGCATGAGGATAAGTTGAAATAGTGATTTCATACAACAGTGCAGTTGGAAGTCTCAGGTTTTTCCCGAAAACTGCAAACCAACAGTCACCAGAGGTCCATGAACTTAACACCCTCCTTTGCAATAATAACAGCTGGTCTGGTGGCACAAATGTTACGCGTCTTGCTGTATCTTTGCACCAAAGAATTTCCTTCAGCTGCATCTTTCGAACCGTCCAGTGATTCACAAGGAAAAAGCTAAAGTGAACAGAAAAAATAGTCCAACATATTCATACATTCATACTGCGACCTCAAGACTTCCTGCAAGGCTGCAACTAAGGACTATTTAATTGCCAACTAAACTGTTGACTATTTAGCTAATAAATGAATAATTTATTCAACATCATAACAACAATATTCAGTCATCTAACCGTCAAAAACCTAAAGGCTTCCAGTTTAATGATGAGAATCACTGATTCCATCACTTTGTTCAGTTCATTTCACAGCCTGTGTAGTTCAGTATGTGCATCAGTAAGTGAACGCATCACCATTCAAAGCAAACTTGAGGGGACGTTTGCAGCAAAGCATTGGTGTTTTCTTTACTTGATTCATGAATGAAATAATAACTCAACAATCAAAAGTATCATCCATTAATTCCATCTCAATGCACTCAGTAACCATCTCTCTCTGTTAGCTTTGGTAAATAATTATATGACACAACAGCTCTCATACGGAAAAGGTTATGCTTTAAGAAATTACGCATTTCACACCACATGTATCCATCAGTTCATGTAGAGCTAAAAAAATAATATGTGCACAGACACGTGTAAGTACTGAACAAGTTGTGTGTGTGTGTGTGTGTGTGTGTGTGTGTGTGTGTGTGGCACACTGACCTAAATAAGAGCAGAGTATTTTCTTATGGCAGGATACACTTCAAATATCATTAAAAACAATCCACCATGACAACACCACCGCGTTACAGCGAGATAGAAAACACCCACGAAGTAAAAAAAGGTGATTACAAACTGTTCACGCGCGCCAGAGATAAAAGCATGAGCGGATATTTTAGGAATATTACAGTGATTTTCTTTCTGTGAACGCAGAGAAGGAACATGCGCGCTATAATCCGCAGCTCGCGGCAATATACCGCTGGATAAACACCTTGTCAGCGCGTGACACGGTGAGCGCTCGGAGAGCTTTAAAAACCTGCACCCGTTAATGAAGTGCTTTACAGCGTAGCAACTGTCAATCATAGGGATGAACAAAGCCTCAGCCTCCTGTTGCCATAGAGCATGTATGTTAAGAAACAGGCAGCATGCGCATTATTTATTTTTAACCATGAATAAAAATCATAAATTCATGCAAAGATACAAATATGAAGTGGATTTTAAAGCGTCCTTACCTCGAACAAAGGTGGAGTGCCCTTGTCTGGAAGTGTGCACCCCAGCAATTCAGCCAGGAACTTTGCCATGTGGAGATGAGAGGTGTGCTCCAGAAATATTACCCCAAAAGGTGCGCAGCGCTGAATCAACAGGAGAGTCCTCTGTCCGCCTGCCTCGAGAACTTCTTTGTGGCGTTCACGGACTCCCTGCGCGCATCCCTCCTTTCTTCTCCTCCAGCTGCCTGGAAAATAATTGAACAAACAAACCCGGAGAGGAGGCAAGAGAAGTGCCGCTGGATGAGAGGAGCAGAGTACCGCCCTGTGGATGTGGAGCTGTCGCCTGTATGAATCCCTGTGTCGGTGAATGGATTTTACCATCTGCAGCCGGTGAGGACTCGTGCAGGTGGGGCCAGGCGGAAGGGGAGGGAGGTGGGCGGTACCAACAGGTTGTCAGTCGGTGTTCATGAAATAGTCACCAAATGCAATCTATTGATTTTCGTGTTCATGGACACAAATTGCCAGTTTTCTTTTCATGTCGCTCAGCGCAGAATAATGCCAATGGAAAGATTATGAGCCTTATTTGTGTGGACAAACAAATTAAATGCATCCATGTGACTAAGGAAAAGTCAGCAAGTGACTACTTTATGATATCCAAAAAGGTGGGCAGGACAGAGGTGGATGGTTCCAACAAATAGGACTTTCAACCTGAAGAACAGTGTTCGACATCGCGGTTTTATAGTTTTTGTTGCCTAAACCTAACTTTAATTGCAACAGGCGGCAGTTCTGCCAAGTGAAGTTGATGCAGAAGTGTCTTAAACCTGCATTCTCTCTAGTGTCCACCAGGGGGCGACTCCTCCGGTTGTATAGAAGTCTATGAGAAAATGACTACTTCTCTCTTGATTTATTACCTCAGTAAACATTGTAAACATGAGTTTATGGTCTCAATCTCTAGTTTCAAGTCTTCTTCAATACAGCATGATGTTCATTTAGTACATTATGCTCCATTTAGAGTCAAATAGACAATAAAAAAGGGTATGCTTTAGGGCGGGGCTTACTGTGATTGACAGTTCGCTGCTGCTAACATCTCTACATCACTCCTCCGAAAATGCTAACAGACTTAAAAGTGTTTATGAGGGGGGGGGGAAACCGAGGGTGGGGTGCTACGCTTCTATGACGACGATGTCAGGGACAGCGTTATCAGCGTTATTTTGTTCAAAAAAAATCGGGAAATGATTTATTAAACTTCATGGATTTTATTGTAATGAATCTCAACTTAAACTTCTATGAATTAATCATTTCTGTTTATCTTTTTATCCACTTTAAAGTATTAGTTTGATGTCTTACAGAGGTGGTATCTTCATAAGCCATTTCTGGCTTCTAACCTCTCCTTCACAATGATCAAACTCGTTTTAAATGTTTTACAGTCTTAAGTGCAAATAAACTAAAATAATGATCCTGAATATCATACAGAGAACCTTTTAAAGTTTGACCACAAATAGTTACACCAAATTGCATACAGCATTTTATTTTCCTGGCTGTTAGAATAAAGATTTGACATTAAATCAGGACCATCAAGCGGGAAAACTGGGAGTGAAACCTGCCCATAAACGTTTATGTAATATGTTTGTATGTCTTTCATCTACCAACAGGGCTTTTATGCAAAATAACATCACAACCTCACTTTGCTGCAATTTCCCCATTGGGATTAATAAAGTGCTCCGTCTATCTGTCTGTATTCATCACTTATAAATGCACAATGAGCAAATTGAAATGTCACCAGGGGGTTTAGTTTGAATATTCATGGTCTCACAGGACACCTGGCTGGATCTGAAGCCTGCAGGGGGATCAGGAGGAATAGCTGTGAGCACATGGGGGGGCTTTTAATATTCTCATCCCACATTTGCATCTTATTACATCGTTATTTCTCACAAGTCGACTATCACCGTGCGAGACAGTGATGTATCTTGTTGTTAAATTATTGTCGTTTTCTAAATATTCATCAAAAACTCATGATTCATTCGCAGCTTTTTGATTTTGGTTTGCCTTCATGAAAAGGCAAAAACATTCTTTTTTTGAGATTAATATTTACAGCCTCTCTGACTCTTGCAAGAATTAATCTGAAAGCCTGTAAATCATTTGGTTCGTGTTTAACATATTTTTAAATTTAGGCATTCAGGAGGCGTTTGGGAGCGCTGCAGTAAGACAATCGACAAACGGATGATTGAATGTTCAACAGAGAGCATTCATTTCAAAATAAGATATGCAACATTTAAGGGGAAACGCTATTAAAGTTTCGGATTCTTAAAAGCATTTGGCTGATTAAATACAAATAAAAATGTAATCTCACAATGGCATTTTCATTTCCCACTTACATACGCATTAATTGGGACACAAATTTAATTGTCATTCAATATGAAATTTTCATTTTCACTACTAGCATAGGCGTTATCTGACAATATTAATATTAATTAAACATTCAATTTTCAAAGCCTGCTTGACAACAAAATGTTGATTCAAATGAGAAAAATGGGAAAACACTTTGAAATTACTTCACAATGTTGTTAAGCTGTTTCCCTGATTAAATGAAATGCAAAGTGACAATTTGACATTTAAGTTCTAACAACCTGTCAGTCATTTTTGAAAAGGCGGCACTACATTAACTCGCTAACGGAACTATTACAATATTTATATTGCATTTTTATTTATTCAATTTGTAAACATGAGTTTATGGTCTCAATCTCTAGTTTCAAGTCTTCTTCAATACAGCATGATGTTCATTTAGTACATTATGGTCCATTTAGAGTCACACAGACCATAAAGCAGGGGATGCTTTAGGGCGGGGCTACACAGTGATTGACGGGTCGCTGCTGCAACCGTCTCGGCGTCACTCGTCCGCATTCCAAATATGGTAACTTCCGTTCATTGGTCGCCAGCAAAAAAACATGGCGACGGCCGTAATCCAATATGGCGAAATTGCCGAACTCAAGGCTTCATCAGTCCACAAACCAATGAGTGACGTCATGAAGACTACGTCCACTTCTTATATACAGTCTGTGCTTGGTGCGCACGATCATACTGACCATTACATTTATTCTATCCACATTCTTTAGGAGAAAAAGCATTGGAAAACACCTTTCACTGTAAACCACGTTGAACAAATCTAAGGTAGTATTTGTATCACGATTACAATGTTACATCGTAATGCAGAAGGTCACCTCGGATATACAGCCCTTCAGCTCCACTTCATTTCAACTCAAACTTCTATTTGTAGATGGATCTTATTTTCAAATCCCCATGACCTCCTCTGACATCCTTTCTTTCTCCAATTTACTCCTGATCTTTGTTGAAGTAGCGCTGCTCTCAAATGCAGCAGGCGTCTGTTCATCAGCGGCTCACGCTCCCCAGGTACGCTCCTGTTCTGTCAGACGCCTTTCCTCTCCTACTCCCTCCCTCTCTCATATCTGTCAAGGACTTTCAGCTCGTCTCCTCCTGCGACGTGAGATTCATACGCGTCTCTTGCTAGAGTGAGAGAGGTGAAAGGTCGGGCCGCATGATGTTGTCAAACCAAATAGATGTAAGTGAATAAATCTCTGGGACCTCTCTTCTCCTCTCGCGACACAAAGGACAGTGAATGTAACTGTTTTGACAGGAACAGAGGAGGCGGATGAGAGATCTTGAAGTCTGAAGAGGGAGAGAGAGAAAGGCTTTGTTCATACATGGTGAGTTTTTAACAAGGGGTAGACAGGTAGAGACCTGTCAATCACTATGTAGCCCCGCCCTAAATCATCCCCTGCTTTATGGTCTGTTTGACTCTAAATGGACCATAATGTACTAAATGAACATCATGCTGTATTGAAGAAGAGTTGAAACTAGAGATTGAGACCATAAACTCATGTTTACAATGTTTACTGAGGTAATAAATCAAGAGAGAAGTAGAGTCACTTTCTCATAGACTTCTATACAATCGGAGGAGTCGCCCCCTGCTGGTCAGCAGAGAGAATGACAGTTTTAAGACACTTCCACATCGGCTCCACTCAGCAGAACGAGAGGTTGCCCCCTGGCCACTGCCCCAAGCGAGAGAGTTCAAGTATCTTGGGTCTTAATCATGGGAGAGGGTAAAATGGAGCAAGAGGAGATCAAAGGCTCAAAGCATCAAATATTAGAACCTGTTTATGTACAACTGGTCTTATACCAACACTCTCTGTATTGTAAAATATATCTTCAGTGCTCACAGCTGCAGAGTACTTGATGTACACGAGAATGATGCTTGTTGTCTGCTGTCCATTTGTCTCGTCTCGTGTAATGGCCCTTTATAGATGTAATGAGGTCCTGTTCTCTTTGTACCACGTCTGTCACGGTCCGACTTGTCAAAAACCTCCCTGCATCAGTGACGCCGAGACAAATTGCATTACAATAATGGTGCAGCCGTTTTATTCCAATTACACTGACAGTGATTAAGATTTTTTTTCTCACCTTCGTGCACACTGTCTTTACTCTGCATTGTGTTAGTGTTTCTGTCTCCACGAGCCTGCAGTAATTGGTGGGCCTGTAATGGGCCCCATCTATCACTTTTATCTAAACGGAATCTCCTCCACCCGTTAAAGGACTGTGGACACTGAGCCAAATGACTCCAGCGGACATTTCTACATGGCCTCCCACTCAACACATACGTACTGTATACATGCAGGGAGGCTGGGTCACTCCATCACAATGGAATCCTTGTGCAACTTATATATCTTTTCGGTACCGGAGAAGACAATTATACTGAAGAATAGTAAAATAATATCCAAGCTTCCTGGAACACAACAGCATTTAATTTGAATCCACAGAGTTTAAAAAAGAGTGATGTACTGTACTTTTCTTGGACCCTTGGTTCCCTTAAATTGTACCATTTCTTTCTTATGGTGAGTCTTTTTCACACAAAGTTCACAGTATATGACTGGTTCTTTTTAGGGCTAACACGCTGTTAGCATTGGGGTCTCACGTGGGAGTTCTCGGGGCTAACGGTGTAAACTCCACCTCCAGGAATACTCCCCCTTCCATGGGTTGGATTACTCTAGGGTAGGCAATACTTGTTGGACTGGTCCTGGATACTTCCTGGCTCTGGCTAATAGCCCCATCAGCATGCTGAGCGGGTTTGTCCCATCAACACGAATGTGACATTTAGCTTTTATGGGGATCAAACCTGTAACATCTCAGTTCGGTGTTGGTCCCTCAAACCGTTGGAGCACCACGCAGGTTTGCCATGTTTGCATGTGACCAAATGACTTTGATGTGACAACCTGCTGTTCCCCCTGCTGCCCCGGGTTGTGTTCACATCACGGAACACAAACACACT